AATATATATATATATATAGATGTTTATTGTATTATTGTTGCTGCTGCTGCTGTTGCTGCTGCTGCTGCTGCAGTGGAAGGGAGAGAGTGGCGAAGTAGATGAGGCAACAATTGAACAAGAAGTTGATCAAATACTCGCCACTGTTGACTTTGATAAAAATGGATATATTGAATACTCAGGTAATTTTATTTATAAGGGTTTAGGGTTTAGGGTTTAGGGTTTAGGGTTTAAGGTTTTAGGGTTATCATTTATTGATTGCTGTTTTGTTTTTGTTTGCCTCTTCTTTAAGGGTTTATTGTTTACTCCCTCTCTATCTATAGAGGGTTTAGGGTTTAGGGTTTAGGGTTTATGTATATTGTGTTTATTCTCTTTTTCTCTTTTTTTGCTGCAGAGTTCGTGACAGTATGCATGGATAAACAATTACTATTATCTAGGGAGAGGCTGCTGCAGGCTTTCCAACAATTTGATAGTGATGGATCAGGAAAGATTACCAATGATGAATTAGCTAAAGTAGGGTTTAGGGTTTAGGGTTTAGGGTTTAGGGTTTAGGGTTTAAGGGTTTTATGACACAGGGTTCTTGAATTATATGTGCACAGGAGTATAGCATAACATCCATGAATGCATGAATTCTTTGCATGCATTTTTTTGCATGCATGCATGCATGCATGCATGCGTATTGTTTTGGGGCTTTTCTTCAGTTATTCGGCATAACACAAATAGATGATAAGGCATGGCATGAAGTCCTCGCAGAGTGCGACAAAAATAATGATGGAGAAGTAAGGATAAAAAAAGAAAAAACCCTAAACCCTAAACCCTAAACCCTAGCTAAACCCTAGAGGAGGAGGATATACAAAAGTGTAAAAAAACACTATATAGATATACAGATGATGATATACAAATAACAGTAGTTGACGAGGGTTTTTGTTCTTCTTATTTATATAAATATATATATTTTAGGGTTTAGGGTTTAGGGTTTAGGGTTTAGGGTTTACTGTTTTTTTTTTTTTTTCTCTTTTTCTTTGCAGGTTGACTTTGATGAGTTTGTAGAAATGATGCAAAAAATATGCGACGTTAAAGTACGCAGCTAAATAAAAAAATAAATAAATAAAAATAAATAAATAAATAAGTCGCGGTGTCTGCATGCATGCATGCATGCATGCATGCATGCGTGCATGCATAGTTGCATGCATGCATAGTTGCATGCATGCATGCATGCATGCATGCATGCAAATTGTTGCATATAGGTTTGTCTGTCACGTGCGTCTATTTTTCTTTTCTTCTATTAGCGTTTTGCTTCTTTTTTCTTTTATTTATTTATTTATTTATTTATTTATTTATTTATTTATTTATTTATATTTCTTGTAGTCCGTCTAGCTGGCAGTACGCGCTGTTGCATGTCAGCAAAAAAGAGAGGGGGCCCCCCAAACCCTCATGCGGTATCGGGAAGGGGGGCGGGG